GGAAAGCAGTGCGCCAAGACAGCTGCAATGTAATTAAGGGCAAAAGGATTCTTTCACATTTTTCTTCTTCACCAACACCTTCACTGTGACTTGTGAGAAATGCCTTTAAAATGTCAGAGGGAAGAGGGGGTAAGAAAGATGTGTTGAAAGCAATTTTGGTTAAAGAGATAACTGTGTCGTGATGTATGGGAGAATTTCTTAAATATATTTTTATTGATTTCAGAGAGGAAAGGAGAGGGAGAGAGAGACGGAAACATCAATGATGAGAGGCCTCCTCCTGCCCACTCCCTACGAGGGATCAAGCCCACAACCCAGACATGTGCCCTGACAGGAAATAGAACCATAACCTCCTGATTCATAGATTCATGCTCAGCCACTGAGCCATGCTGGCCAGGCTATGGGAGGATTTTAATATGTGCATGTGTAGTGGCAAAAAAAGAAAAAGAAAAAAAAAGAACTGTTTAAGATTCTCTTCATAAAAGTGAGAATCATAAAAAAATTTTGTAAAATAATATAGGATTTGTAGTATTGAATATCATGATATCCCCCCCTCCCCCAAACCCCAATGCCTTCATTAAAGTTCTCAATCATCTGGACTATTTTTTACAGTTTACCTTTTTGGAGGAAAGAGACAAATAACATGAAAGCAATCTTACAACAGAGATTTATTTGGAGATGAAGACTTTACATTATGTGTCTTCAGCCTATTTTCTATGTACATGTCTACACAGTAAAATTCATAGACCAGGGTTTCTCGTCAGTGACACTATTGACATTCACGAGCCAGGTGTTGTGTTTGGTTGGAGGTCTGTCCTGTGTGGTGGAGGAGATTTAGCAACATCTGTGGCCTCTATTTATTAGGTGTTAATTCCGCCCACCTCTCCCAGTTGTAACAGGCAAAATGTCTCTGGACATTGAGATGTCCTCTGGTGGACAAAATTGCTCCAGTTGAGAACCATACCATGAGCAGGATCTCTGAAAACAGACAATTTGGAACCTCAACTCCTGCTTCTGCAATTACTAGCTATGTAACACTGGCTAGCTGTCTTAACCTCTCTGTGATTCAGTTTCCTTATGGATAAAAGAGGTATAAATACTCGTATCTACTTCTCAGAGTTATGATGGAAATTAAACGTGTTACCATGTGTAAGGGCTTTTACTTACCATTCTCAAATTATTAAGCTTGCATTAGCGGTCAGTAGCTGCTCATGTCCTGATGTCACACTGCTTGGCATTTACCATAGGCAATACTGATTAGGCTGTCTGACCACATGCAAGTTCCTGATCCTTTTACTGTTTCCATTTTCCTATTTATAAAATGGAGGTGATAGCAATATCTGAACCTCACTGAGTTGTTGGGTGGTGGTGTGTAAATGTAAGGGACAAACACCACACAACGACTGCCTAATAAAAAACAGCCTTCACTCAAAAACTTAATGAAACACATTTGATGCCATTACTAAAGGCTAGATATTGGGCTCTTAGGTATGCTTTGTTTGACCTGTCTGATTTATGTACCCTTGGTAACTGGCCCCTGAAGCGTTTGAGTTTGTGGTTCCTGCCTGACCCAGTATCAATTGTAATCATGATGTCCTAGTTACTGAAGTGAGGGACATGGACTAATAATTTTTGTATGCTTGTCAATCAGTGAGAGTGGCAATAAAATGGTTTGTGCTTAAATGTGAACTGAGACATAATTTAATTGGAACACTGCAATTCATAAATATTTTCGTCAGATTTTGTTTTCATTGTGTCACAGGCAAACCATTATTTTGTTCTCATTACCAGAGCCATTATAAAAGCAGTGCTAGGGTAAGCCTGGCCCATTTGATTCTGTGTGCAACTTTTGCTTTCAATTTAAAAGAAAAAATAAACTAGATATTGTTTGCAGAGATCATTTCCTGGTTACTTACTGCTAGTATGAGAAGCATTCAAAATTAGGTCTGTTCTGAAGTTACTGAAGTCATTATTGTTCTCACGACATTTACAATTTAAAGCAGATAGTTCAGAGAGCAATCAGCTGATAACAGGCATGTTGTTAGTTTTAAAAGTTGTAACAATATTTTTAAAAAAACCTACTGCACATGGACTTACTAGCAAAACTCTTTTGGGGCATTCTACCCGGGGGACAGTTCCTTTACTTTCCTGATTGTTCATGTTCATAACGCCCAAAAGTGCTAACACTGTAAACTGATCTTATCTCTCTAATTAATTTAAAAAGTTAAATTTTTATGCAATGTTAAGTAGAGATAAATAAAATAGGAATCATGAAGTAAGGTGAACATTTTTATTATATACGTTAGTTTGGCCATATTAGAAATACTGTTCTTATTATTCTGAGACTAAATAGATTATACAAATTCCTGTTGTCATAAAAGCCCTAATACTTTGTAAAATTCCACCAGAGTTATAATTTATTTCCACAAGGTTATATGGCATGGCATATGTCTAAAATTATGAGAGCATTTCTTTGCTTTAAGGAATCCTTCCTAGATGAGCAACAGCACCCTCTAAAATGCAATTATGGAGAGATGACTTCAGTGACTTGGCAAGACTTCAAAAGAATAATGCATGGCAATTTGAGAATAATGTGATCATTGTTTTTATTTTTAAGAAAAGCTTCTCCTTGTTTCACAATAGAATAATTCCTCTTGTCTTTTCCACTCCCAAGAAAACAAATTGAAATTCCATCTCAGATTAAAAGAGGTTAACTAGAAGAAAGGAAAGATAAGAAATGACTAAATTGAAATGGATGGGTCAACCAAAGTGAAATGTGGCTGAGTAGAAGAGAATTACCAAAGGGAAAGACAGCTGAAATAACTCCAAACCCTACATTTTAAAAGACAAATTCTAGTTAACTTTTAAAATCTTTAAAATTTGAGGCTGCCGCCCTAACTGGTTTGGCTCAGTGGATAGAGCGTCGGCCTGTGGACTCAAAGGTCCCAGGTTCGATTCCGGTCAAGGGCATGTACCTTGGTTGTGGGCACATCCCCAGTAGGGAGTGTGCAGGAAGCAGCTGATGGATGTTTCTCTCTCATCCATGTTTCTAACTCTCTATCTCTCTCCCTTCTTGTATATAAAAAAAACAATAAAATATATATTTAAAAAAATAAATAAAATAAAATAAAATTTGAGGCTTCCTTCAAGAGACTAAACCAACCAAGGGTTGAACTTGTTTTATGCCATAGTACAATTGCTCCTCTAGACTTTCAATAAGTCTGGTAGTGTGTTCCACATGAACTAAATTTAAACAATTTAAATTTTACTCATGGGAACCACACACTTTCCAGCATAATTTATATGCTTTAAATATTGCAGTTTCCAAACTGAGCAGGAGGTGTCTTGGAGTACTGCAGTGCACTCACCAGGGTGCCTCGAAATGTCTTATAATTTTAAGGGAAACACAGTGATACTTGGCATCTCTCAGGTACCTGGATGTAGTTCACAGTTTTGAGACTATCTTTGGCTTGGTTCCTTTAGAAGACACTGTGTCTTTGCAAAGCTGGGCAGAATGAAAATCAGTGTGAAACAGGAAATGAGGGCGGCTATGTCCAATCTGATTCCAAGGCTTGGAAGTTCCCATTAGTAACTGATTTACTAAGAATGACACAAATATATGTATATGAGTTTCCTCATGTGTATTATATTTTAACTGACTGCTAAGTTTTTAGGACATAAATAGTTAAGGTTTTTGGACTAGACTACTTAAAAAACAGAATGGTCAGGTTTTTGTTTGGTTTGGTTTTGGCTTAATGGCACCAGGGGAAAAATTACTGAGACACTAGAGTACAAAGATGTGAGAAAGTTTGGAAGTTTCTGTTCTAATATTTGTATGAATGTATAAATATGTGTCAATGTCAGAAATAAATGATGCTTTATGCAGTTGATTTTCTACATGTAGCATAAATAATGCTGGGAAAGATATGATACTAGGAGAGTATATGTAAATATGTGACTCAGAGCTAAAACACCCTCAGGAAGCAATCCAGATATTTGCTGATTAAAAAGAAAAGCCCCTAAATATAGATAGACTTCATAGGGAAGGAGTGAGATACAGAATATTGAAAGTTGGCCTTATTGTACTCCCCACTGCCCCCCTGGTCCCCAGCTCTACCTTTATATTGTGAGGCTTCCTCAGGCCAAAGATACTTTTCTTACCAATCCTTCATATGTTTTTAGATACTAACCCCAAAGAACTATTTATTTATATAAAGCAAAGGTATACATGTAAAGATATATATATTTTAGGGTCCTTCAATTGCATGAAAAGTAAGCTCTTCTATCACTTTTGTTTTCATAAATATAGTGCATTGTAGCACATCAGAAAGTCAGCTGCTAGATGTTGTCAAAGTATTTTAGCTTTATATTTCATTGACCAGCATTTATAGATTTCATTGTTCCAGAACTTGTCTCATGGCTTATCCTGACTATGTGTGATGCTCCTTGAGGTAATTTCTTGGTACAGAAATAGCTGAATTGCCCACTTAAACTTATGCTTCAACCAATAGTCATAACTACTAAGAGGCTACAGCTACATTACCATGCTTGTTGATCTGACATAGACGTTGTTTTTCAGATGGCAGTTTCCATCGTTTGGCACCACTATGCCTGCCAATTTGCTATCAAGAGCAAGATGAGATGTCTGATCAGTCATCACCAACAGCAATCTTTTAGCTTCTTTTCGCCATCCAATATGACTCTTTAAAGAAACATGTAATTAGACCTTGTACAATAACATAGATTTGTACTGTGGTCTTTCTCTCAAGTAAACAATAAGTTCACATGCACAGACATCAAGTCAGGCTGGAAGGATGTTCATAAATTCAATGCTGTCTCATAAATAGAATTAACTTTTATTTCCATATTCTCTATTTTATTACAGCCACTTGACCACAATAGCTCTTGGCTAGAGATTTCTGTGATCCCCAGTGAAGACAAGCCAGGTATAAGAAGTGCAGATCACCCAACGTGATGTGAGTAGGACAGCTGGCACTTCCTGGGGGTGAGTGGAAAGTGCAACCCTTTTGGAAAGGATTTTCCAAGCACATAAGTTAGTCTTTCCCTTTTATCTTTTCCTATTTATAACCCACTCCAAATTTAGCTCCTCAGTCCTAAACATAGACCAAAATGAGTAACATTGCTGATGAATAAGAGATATAGGTATTCTTCTATGCTATGTTTTCAGTCCATAAATCAAAAAGAAAATGAAAATCCTAAATTCTTGGGGAGTTTTGCATTTGCACAAACACTCAACGGTGTGAAACTTCTTACCTCACAGACAGCTGCCTGAAGCATAGCATCAAAACCTCCTTCAGGTGTATCGATATTTCCAGAGATCTTCTGTCTATGTACCGCTTTTTCAAACTCAGTGATGTTCTCTGTCAAAGATAGTACATGGATGTATCCATGGGGAGGCATACAGTCTAAATTGTAGTCGCTGTGTGGGTAAAGAAGAAATGAAAATTCTATTTTGCTATGCTTCCTTCAAAGATCCAAAAATATTACTCAGAGTAAAATTATGTGGTTGGTGTGAGAAGGTAATAGTTGTTTTTTTGTTTGTTTTGACGAAAAAATTTTATTAGATAAAATCTGTACTTTATAAAGTCAAAGGACAGTTCAATATTGGTCAGTATTTCTTTGCAAGTAGGAAATAGGAATATAATAACTTGGTGTTAAAAAAATAAAGAATATTAAACATGTTTCTTATATAATATTAGTGGGCCAGTGCACGAATTCATGCATATTGAAAGGAAATTAATTAGAAGAAATATTTTAATATCGTGATTTGCCCTTTCTCTGTAATAGAAGTGTCAACCAAATTCATGATTGACACTGACAGATTGAAACACACACATGCAATTGGTGCCAGCGAGAGCTTTATATGTATTGTGCATGTGTGAGTCAACTTATATTTTTTAAATTGCCAGTGTGTGTCATATGTACCGGACAGTCGGTCGGACGGTCGGATGAACGTATGGTCGGTCACTTAGCCTTT